GTGGAAGTTTTTTTCCAGGTTCTTCGCTTTCCTCCCACATCAGGAAAGTGGAGAAAACGCATTTCTTTAAAACTGCGTTGAGTCGTTTAGTTTATTGTTCTTCCCCCGCACCTACGATTCGCACGGTTGGCTACGCATGGTGAGAAAGTAGGTGAACATACATTTGCATGCATCAGAATCTATGTTGAGACTGGAGAAATCCGATGAGCTATGAATATATTTTTTAACAGATGTCCAGTAAATGTCCTCCCAGATTAGGCCATTGATGGAATTGGCCAAAACTTCCCCCAAGCAGGGTCCTGTTAAAAACGCCACCACCACAACACCACCACCACGGTACGACCACAACAACACCACCACCACGGTACCACCACAACAACACCACCACAACACGATCAATCTGAGCGCGCTGTCCCTGTACCTTGAAGGCCGCGCCACTGAGGCCGAGACAGCAGCAGCTGTCGCTGTGTTTGGGGTGGGCAGGGGGGGGGGCAGAAGCAGCAGTCACACAGAGCCCCCCCCCCCCCCCGATCGTGCCCTCGCAGTGACTCGCAGACCTCGCTGTCGCGGTGGTCCCGCGTCAAAAACACGGAGACAAAGGAGCGGGATGCGCCGCGCGGAGTCATTGTCCAGACTCTCGCCTCCTCCTCCTCCTCGCTCCGTGCGCGCCGCTGCCACGAGATGAGACGCGACATTGATGGGGCGCGTGTGTCCGTCTGCGTGTGTCCATGTGTGTGTGTCCGTCTGTGTGTGTGTCCGTCTGTGTGTGTCCGTATGTGTGTGGGTCCGTCTGTGTGTGTCCGTATGTGTGTGTGTCCGTCTGTGTGTGTCCGTCTGTGTGTGTCCGTATGTGTGTGGGTCCGTCTGTGTGTGTCCGTATGTGTGTGGGTCCGTCTGTGTGTGTGTCCGTCTGTGTGTGTGTCCGTCTGTGTGGGTCCGTCTGTGTGCGCGTCCGTCTGTGACCTCCTGCTAGCGGGCGTTCGACACTTCACGTGGCCTCAAGGTGCACATAGCCTGGCACAAGCGTCGTGGTGACGTCACCGCCACTTAGTGGCGAATGGCGGTTGCTGTTGTTGCGTCCGTCTGTGTGGGTCCGTCAGTGTGTGTCGAGTATCTGGTGCGGTGTGTCAACATCAGCATTGAGAGCGAGCGCACGACACGTTGACCTTATTGGTATGCTTTGCCCAACGCACGATACAACATCGACCGCATCCTTAACCTCCCTGCACTTCCACTCCGTTAGCAAAACAAAATACACTTCCTCGCCACACCAGTCTACAGGGTGGGCTAGATGCCTTGTCCCCCCCCCCCCACACTTAATTCTCTAACACTTCATATTGCTTTTAAAGCAAGGTTCCTTTAAAACAGAAATTAATTATGCTAAAGAAAAAAATGTTAAGGGTTAATTTATTTTAGGGGGGGGGGGGTCACAAGACATCTGAACCTTCCCTGTACACACCGTCCACAGACCACTCCACTCCACATCACTCATGGAAGGCCACGCCACCGCAGCTCTCCACAGTACCACAGACTACTCTCCACTATTCTTAGGTTTTTTCGGTAAAGTCACATAGGTAAAAATTTAATTAATAAAAGTAAAATAAAAATAAAATAAAAAACACGACGTTTCGGAGGCACTTGATACAGCTATCGTGCTGTGACGGTTCCACCTGAATACGGAAGCTTGTGTTGCCCCCGAAACGTCGTGATATTTATTTATTTTTTTATTTTACTTTTATTAAGTTTAATTTTTTACCTACGTGACTTTGCCGAAAAAACCTAAGAATATGAATCCTTGCAGTCACGAAAGCTTCAAATCTACTCTCCACTACCCTCGACCACAGCTCACCACACAACTCCCTCCTACCACGCCACTGCCCAGTAACACACGCAACGTTGAGCCAACGTTGAGCCACTAAGGGCGTGGTAAGGGACGCGCCACAAGCATCGCTCAGATGGGACGGAAAGTGCTCGGGATGCACTTCCAGTTTGGGCTCCGTGGGAGATCGCTCCTTCTCCTTGGTTGCACCCGCGGTTTGGAACGACCTCCCCTCTGCCGTTCGTGCTGTTGACTCCCTGTCCGACGTTCAATTCCAGGCTCGATATATTGTCCTGTTCCCTCTGCTGACGTCTGCAAGCTGCCTCTATGTAAAATAAACACGTCCACTGCTATAGTGCGCAGCTTATTTAGGTGCTGTCGCGTTCAGATGCTTTGTAAACCCACGGCGTATTGTTTTGCGGTTATGGGTCAGAGAAAGTATTGGGCTAAAGGGATACGGAGAGGATTAAGGGATAGGGTTTGAGTTGTAAAGGTAGGGTTAGAGTCGGGGTGACGGATAAGAGTGCGGAAGGGTTTCGCGTTCCCTTGTCTTCACCAGACGTCTCCAAGATAAACACGAATCTCCTTTGGTGTCTCTCCATTGTCCGCTCTCGTCGACCAAAACCCGCCTTTTCAGCCCCGTGTCTGTGTGTTTGCATTGTGTACGCGCGCGCGCGCGTGTTATCACTGCGCGCGCGCGTGTCCGTGTGGTTCATTGTGCGCCTGCTATTCGTGTTGTGCCTTTCATTGTACGGCATGCGCGTTATCGCTTGTCGGTGCGTGTTCTCAGCGTCGGCGTCTGTCTGCGTGGAGCGGTGGTGCAGCGGTTAGCGCTGCTCTGCGCTATGAACCCGGCGACCCGAGTTCGATTCAAGCTCACGGCTAACACAGAGTGACGATGATCTGTACCGGTCTTGGGCCTCCCCAAGGTCGACTCAGCCTAAAAATGAGTACCTGGTGCGGTGTGTAAACATCGTCACGAGGGAGAAAAAGGCGGCCGGGCGTGTGGCTGGCCACCCACCCCCTCGTGCTCCGTATCGGCCTTCATAGGTGCTCGCTAACAGCACTTGCCCCAACAGTCTGTTAAGGCTACATGACGGGGGATCTTTGTCGTAAATAGTCAGTCAATCCACAGCGACATGAAGTGTCGGCCATGGGTGTTGTTTCACCATACTTCATTACGGTCAAGTATGGTTAAATCATATGGTTAAACCATACTATGGTTTAACCATACTTGACCGTGATGAAGTATGGTTAAACCACTCACGTGGTCTTTTTTTTACCCACGTCACACACGCTGCGTTCCTTTCCCTACACGGTGCGTTTTAGATTCATCTTTTTTCGTCATCGTATTTATTATTTACCCTGCAAAAACAACAACAAAAAAGCCTCATCCAGTCTCAAAGACGGCCACTTGCCTCGCGCGCTTTCAGAGATTCGTTTCCGCGACCGTCTGGAACACTCCTCGTTCCGATGTTAACGCTTTGTTTCAGCAGCGTCGGTTTAATTTAATAACGGACAAACTAAGGACCGGTTTCGATATTAATTGTCTCATCAGCAGAGTCAGGTTTGCTTCGACATGCAGCGTCTCATCAGCTTAAACCAATGATTGCGATTATTTTGTGTTCCTTTGATGAGACAGATTATCCGGTGATGCTGCTGCTGCTTTCGCAAGCGGTGCACAAGCACACATAACAAACACACAACTCAACACGCTCGTGCATTAATATACACGTGTTCTCTTTCTTTTTTTTTGGGTAAGTCGGTGTCACGGACGATTGTGTCGTTGAGATTCGAACGACTTTGATTCCGCCTCCGTTGTTGACTCTGACGGATCGCTTCTGCTCCCTGGCGGTGTCGGCCCGTCACAGCAGCTCTCTCCCCAAGGTCTCTCAGTCTCTCTTTCAAATCTTCACCGTGATGCTTCGACGCCCCCAACGACATCAACGCGGAAGCATCCTCCTCGTCTCGGCCGGAGCTCCCAAGGCCGTTTGGCTTATGAGTCGACAAATGCTCGCTCAGTTTATAAAACTCAACTGTGTTTATAAAAAAATATTTATCAGGTAAGGCCCACACTGAGCGATATAGCTTCTTTTTCAGAAGCGACCTTGCCACAAATGTCAGTTCAATCAAGTGACGTGTATGGAAATGTATAGCAGCCAAAAAAACGCGTGATGTTGATTCTAAACGTGGAGGGGAAAACCGGAGGTGCCAGAGAAAAATCCACGCAACCACGGGCAGAGAGAGAGACACGCAAACTCCAAATATACAGCAGCAGGCGTCAGTGTCGGGATCGAGCCCACGACCTCCTGTATACCCGGCGAGGATGTTAACATCTCCCTAGCCACCGTGGCGATGATGATGAGAAAGAGAGACACGCAAACTCCAAATATACAGCAGGCATCAGGGTCGAGATCAAATCCACGACCTCCTGTATACCAGGCGAGGTAGTTAACATCTCCCTAGCCACCGTGATGATGATGAGAAAGAGAGTCGTGCAATCTCCAAATATACAGCAGGCGTCAGGGTCGAGATCGAGCCCACGACCTCCTGTATACTCGGCGAGGGAGTTAACATCTCGCAAACCGCGACTCAGAAAAATTGACACAACACAGAAATTAACAAGCGAACATTTTGCCTCCTTCACCACATCTGTTCCGTCACGCAAACACGTGGGTTGTTTATTTACACATCCCATTGGCCACTCGACGCTCATGACCATTGCGTGATGATGTTGAGCAGAACGATGTCTTCACGAGAGGGCAACTCTGGCGCCTGGCCACGTGGTGGCGCTAAAATCACCACAATCTGAGCGGGAGTGGGATCGTCAAAGGCAAGACATTGATTGGGGTCATTAGTTAAAACGATGTTGTTATTTTTTTATTTAAAGCTTTCGTGACTGCAGGGATTCATATTCTTGGTTCTTTCGGTAATGCTGGTACCGCTCTTGATTTTCCAGTTAATAGTGGAACGACGGACATGTGTTTACTTTGCCGGGGCGATGGTCGCTCTACGCACGGCGGTCTGTGATCCAGCACCGTGGAGGCGGGGAGGGTTGGTGGGCCACCACCACCACCACAGTGTTGTGAAACTTCCTAACCAAGCGCATCGAGGTGCCCATTACACGCGCTCGCCAGGAGAAGGCAGTAAAGCCAATAATGTCTCCATGTGTATGGGATAGTGTGTGTCCCCCCCCCCCCCCACCTCGTAATGCGTGGGTTTTATCCAGATGCTCAGTTTTCCTGGCACCGTATGAACTCATTAATTGGCTGATGATAGCAGCTTAATAGATAGAGGTCCACAGAGCTCGGGAAGAAATTCAGCAATGACTCACCGCGTGGCTGCCTTCCCGCATGTTTGTGTATCCTCGCTGGCCATCGAACAAAGACGGCGCTCACTGCATAGCGCGGCGCTTTCAGATGCACTTCTGCGGCCGTCTGGAACGCTCTTCCGTCCGATATTAGGAAGCCACAGGAGCTATGCACTTTTAAATCATCTATATTGACGAACTAATGTGTTTAGAACTGCTTTTTGTGTTTAGTTTGTTGTCCTTCCCTCGCACCTTCGATTAGCACGGTTGGCTACGTACGGTGCGAAAGAAGTTCAACATACTGTGCACGTTACAAGTTGATATTATTAATCACAGTACAATGATACCAACGCAAAGTGTTAACCAATATCATTCTATAAAGGACAACCAATCAAATCGATCCGTTACACATCGTCCGCACTGTCCAGGTCAGGTCGCACTCTCTCACAGAACTTGCAACTTCGTAGAGGTGATCGTTGCCGATGTTTAATCCATCGCTCATCCCCGCGCAACATGTTGGGGGGTCTCGTGCTAGGAACGCAGGGATGACCGACAGACACGTCAGCAAATCAGCAAAACAAGAGTTGGATTCCTGGGCATGTGGGATGAAGCAACGCATTGACTGGGTCACTTTACGAATGAGAACCGCTTTTCAGGCGACGGAGGAAGAGGCTGCGCCCTAGCTCAACAATTAATGGGGAGGGGGGGTTGCGGATGGGTTGGGCGAGCACCTATCTTGCCTCTGAGACCACCAAGTGCACACACCGCTGACACTGGTTGAGAGTAAGGGTGAGCGAGACTTCTTGCGCACGGATGAACATGGACGGACGATTCTCCCACGAGTGAACAGGGAGCTGGTGGGTGGACGAGGCTCCGTCACTTGAGGTTCTGGGTCTGCTCCTTGAGTCGCCACGCCGCCTCCATGTAGGTCGTGATCTCTGAGCCCTGGCGGGGAAAGTTCAGCCTGCGGTCCGTGCGGTCCGTGTCGATCTGAGTGTGTGGAGGGGGGGGGGGGGGCACAGTGTGACTGCTGCACCCTGCTGCACCCTGCTGCGCTCTGGTGAAAACGTATGCACCCTGCTGCGCTCTGGTGAAAACGTATGCACCCTGCTGCGCTCTGGTGAAAACGTATGCACCCTGCTGCACACTGACAAAGGAATTTGCATGTCAAGGCGCCCTTCCTCCTCTAACCCAGCTTAAATATACGCTGCCAAGCTTGGTGGTGTTCATTCAGACGCTGTCTTTCCGACAGACCTGTTCTTCATCTAAAGACGGCTGCTTGCGTTGTGGCCGAAACGTCGTGAGAATTGTATTTTATTATGTTTTATTTGTATTATTTGTTTATTTCCCTTCTACGTGACTTTACCGAAAGAACCAAGAAGATGAATCCCTGCAGTCACGAAAGCATTAAATCGAAACGTAATGCATACTCTTTAGTTTTTTCGGTAAAGTCACGTAGGTAATTTTTTTTTTAATCACGACTTTTCGGGCGCAACAAAAGCGCCTTCTTCAGGTGGGGACAACGTAGCGAAAAAAACAAAGAGTATGAATCCTTGCAGTCACGAAAACTTCAAATCTAGAATCATAATGCACACCAGTCTGATCATGCGGGTTGTGGGAGGTCGTGTAGATGGTGGTCGTGGCAAGACTGGATAATGATGATCGTGGTCTATTGTCAATGTGGTCAGGCGAGTTGGGCACGATGGTACTGTTGACGAAGATTACGGTTGCTATAATTCTGGCAGGCTAGGTGGTGGTACTCGTGTTGTGGTGTGGCTGGGTGGTGTTGGTAGCCAGGTAATCACTGGTAGACTATTTGGGTGGTAGCCATTGGATGACACTTGTGGTCGGGCGATTTCTGGAGGAAAGCTCTATGGGTGGTGTTTGTGTTGTGGTTGCATGATGGTTGCGGTGCGGCCGGCTGGTGGTTGTGGTTGCGCTCGCTGTGGTGTGACCGTGACGGGTTCCCCCAGGGGCCGTGAGGGTTCCCGTACCAGGGGAGTGTTGTTCCACCCCACTTCTTGCGCCTCCGTCTGCGGGAAGGTGAACTTCTCCCGCGGTCCCTGCGCCGCTCGGCGAAACGCCGCGGTGAAGGCGGCTGGCAGAGGACGGGCAGAGCGAGCGAGCGATATAGTCAGTGAGGCCAATTTTGAAATCGGTACCAGCTTAGGTGGCACAACTTTCGGGGTTATTGGAGAGTTAATTATTTGAGAGTGAAGTACTTGATAAGCCACTCATTGCAAACAGCTATCGCACAATTCATCGTTATTTGTCACATAGAGGAAATGCAACCGTTCTGCCATCTCAGGTGGTACTGATAAGTGAAATATCTAGTCCTGGCTCATTGACAAAAATCACATCAAACGATCCCCCGACTCACCAGGTGCATTGCGCGTTACCGTGTCTGGTGTTAGAGTGCTGGTAAATGCGCGTGACATTTCACTGAATCAGATCCCTTCCCCAGCAAACGACTCCCAAACATGTCATGAAATGTAAAATTTTACACTTAATAAAATCGCAACTCTAAACTCAATTGTGCGGTTTGTAAGCATAGTCGACGATTCTTAAACCCAATTAAGATTAAAACAGGGGAAATTATAGGTCGCGATTTTTTTTAACCAATCCCTAAGGTCAAAGGTCATACGTTGGTCATCGTCAAACAAATGAGCCCTGTCTCGACTCTGTACAACACAAGATACTTAAGTGAATGCTGTGCCCGACTGACATTTGGAGAAGTTTCTTGTACACATCAGTACATGGGCATGCTCGCTGTGGGGTGATTATCACACGATGCTACTACAGCTGCAAGCGATAAGGTGTGCAGACCGGCAGTGTCCTGGTATCGAACTCTCTTCCTTGCCTCGTCGGCCATAAGCACCCAGAATCGTCACCAAAATTACCACCACCACTCGCACCACTACCATAAACACCAACGAAGATGCCCCGTATAGTAATTCGGAATAACGGGGCAAATGTGGTTTGCGAGCACCTGTTCAGGGAGGCACAGGGTGCACGGGAGGGTGGTGTGACCGGCATCACGCCCGCCCACCTTTGTTTCCCCAGTGCTGATATTTACACGGCACACTAAGTACGCATTGAAGACCAAGACTGGTTCAGATGTTATCCGTGGTTGGGAAATAAAACGCAGGTGGCCGGGTTTTGTAACGCAGAACGCGAACCGCTGCGCCACCACCGCCCAGCGCCCCCAATAACCGCCACCCTCTAACTGGAAACACAAAACAACGAACACGTGTGCGAGACATATATAGGACAAGGATTCAATTCGATCCCCTCCTGTTCCACAATGGCCAACTCAACACGCACGTACCATCCTCGTAGCTCTGGCTGTTGCAGGGAGCGTTCGGTTTGTCGGCGATGGCGTAAACTGCAACACACGAGCAAGAGGGCCACGCGGACGGGTTACAGGCCCCAGATCCTTGGGGTGGTTCCATGTAGAAGCAGCTGAGCTCGTTGAAACTGAAATGTAGCTCGAGTGGGAGTAACGTGTGGGATGAATGAGTGGCTGGGGTGGGGGGTCAGCAAAATTGTCCTGTTGCCGATAATATGCGAAGGGCTTAATTTCTCGCTGAGTACTTTTCTGCGCTGCCGGTAAACTTGAGTAGGTGATATGTGATTGGCAGCCAGTCATTTTATTTCGGGTAAGGCCTATTGAGCTAAGAAGCTATTTTCCAATGGCAACCCAAGCCACAGCTATCGCAAGAGGTGTATACTGGACGTGGTGTTCTGGGTGCTGAACAGAAATCTGAGTCACTGACCAGAGCAGAGCAGCGTAGGGGGTGGGACAGTGTGACGTCACTGCCGTTTGGATAGTCCGACGGTTCGTATCCAGGCCTGATTTTCGAATGTTTGTTGTTGTATTGTTTCAGATTAACCCCAACATCGAGATCGCACCTCTAGTGCGTGCGTGTTGTGTGTTGTGGGGTGCGCACCCATCAAGAGAGAGGGGCAGTGGGTGGGTAGGGGGGGGCAGTGGGTGGGTAGGGGGGGGCAGTGGGTGGGTAGGGGGTAGGGGGGGGGTCATTGGGTGGGTAGGGGGGGGCACTTTAAACAATGTCTGGGTGGCAGCCTCACGCTTCCGGTAGGGGTTGATGCTGAACTCGGTGTAGAGGCGCAGATTTCGCTCCTCCTTGCGGATCGACTCGCACAAAATCGCGTTCTGGTGGACCTCGTTGGGGGGCTCTTTCTCCTTCGGGGGGGCCCTTTGGCGGCAGACATCGTTGCCGCGCCGTGCCAACACACCGGCACCTCGTCTCGTTCTCTGCGTGGCCTCGGAGAGAGGGTGTGTTAGTGAACAGGGTGGTCCAGATGTCTTGAGACCCCCCCATTTAATTCTCTAAAATTTACTATTTTTGTTAAAGTGATGTTTATTTAAAACATAAATTAACGTGCAATGTTTAGGGGGGGGGGGGTCAATTAATTGAGAGGTCACGAGACATCTGGACCACCCCGTAGAGGGGACAATGGTTTCCAAGACGGCAGGCAGATCCTACGCAGGCTTGAGGTGGGATGGTCACTCGGGGTTCGTAGTTGCCGTGTGCTGGGGGTGCCGAATGGGCACCACTGAGAGATCATGGGGCTCAGACTTCTGTGTGCGAGCTTCGGTCACCTTTGATGACACCGGGTTCTCAAGTCGAGCAAGTTGATGGTCACAGCCGGGTCACCACAATTACTTAAATACATTCTAGATTTGAAGCTTTCGTGACTGCAAGGATTCATACTCTTAGTTTTTTCAGTAAAGTCATGTAGGGAAAAAATGAAATTTAAATTAATAAAAATAAAAGAATAACTTAAATACAGAGAGTTTAACACGTCGGCTGTGGCGACCAATATTATCTATAATGTAAATGTTGTGGGTTTACTATCCAACGCACCAGTGTGCTGTACTAGTAACGAATTGACACGTTTTGTTAACGTGACAAACCTTACTAATTGGCTGAGTCGGGTGGTGGCGGGTTTAACGACGCATATTTATGCGATCTCACCCCCCAAAACACATTCATTACAGTTAAATGCAGAGACCCAAAGATTTCCGCAGAATCCAATAGACTCGTTTAGAGACCCAATATACCCAGTACTGTCCTCGCATAGAGACCCACTGATGTACAGAGGCCCATAGACCCACGTAGATGTATTTGTGACGAAACCACGTTCTCAAGTCGAGTGGAGTCGGTAGTTTCAACCCGGTCACCAATGACTCCATCAATCACACAAAACATTCACTGTGTTCACTCAATTTGACTCTTGAGAACTAACATGCAGGTGATGGTAGTGACTGTGATGATTATTCACTGTGACAATAAATCTTTTTTTTTGTTCCTGGGTAGTAAATGTTATTTTCTAATTGCTTATGCCTCAAAAGCATAGAAACTGGCTATTATTTCCCACATACTTTGCTTTTGTGACTAGGACAGTGATATTTTGAAATGTACCTATTTTCAATGAGAAAACGTGTGCATTTGTGTCATTCCTTCACATAGAGTCCTGGTCACAAAAGCAACGTTTGTGGGGAATAATAGCTATTTACTATTCTTTTGAGGCATAAGCAATTAGAAAATAACACTTACTACCCAGAGACAAAAATAGTGTTACATAAATACAACTCAGACGTACAGTTGATACTGTTAACGACGATGATGGAACCTTGGATATATGACGATGATGTGATTGACATTCGGCGAACACTCTTCACGAGGCACAAACAACGTGATGATAATGACGATGCAACTTGTGTAGATGATGATTCGTCTACGACTTGATGGACCTACATCTTCGATAACTCAACACAATCACGAGCGCCATCGTGGAGAATGTAAGTAACAAATAAGCAGACGTCTCCTTCACAAATAGGTATCTCCGCATACTAAATACAAGTTGTCCTTACCCATTCCACCAACCTTCTGGGAGTTCATTATTTCATCAGCATTGAGTCAAGTCAAGCAAACTCGAGATCGGTTTCGACGTACAGTGTCTCATCAACGGAGTCAGGCTTGGCACTGCTGATGAGACAGTAAATGTCGAAACCAGTCCAGCGTTTGCTTTTCCTAAAACAATGCTGCTGAATTTTGATTTAAAGCTTTCGTGACTGCAGGTATTCATATTCTTGGTTCTTTCGGTAAAGTCACGTAGAAGGGAAATAATAAAATAATAAAAATATAAAACAATAAAAATTAGCACGACGTTTCGACTGCAACACAAGCAATCGTCATCAGGTGTGGAATCCACAGAACATTTTTATTTTTTTATTTTTTTATTATTTCCCTTCTACGTGACTTTACCGAAAGAACCAAGAATATAATGCTGCCTTAATTATACATTCTAGATTTGAAGCTTTCGTGACTGCAATGATTCAAACTCTTAGGTTTTTTTCGGTAAAGTCACGTAGGTAAAAAAACTAAATCATTAGATTTGCTATTTTAGTATTATTATTTTACCTACGTGACTTTACCGAAAAAAAACCTCAGAGTATGAAATTATACATCTTGGATAGATTATATGAAACCATAGAACGACGTTGGTGACGTTGACGGTGATGATAATAATGATCATAAGTACTACATCTTAAGACGTACAGTTGATGGCTGTTCACGATGAACCTTGGGATAGATGACGACGACGACGACGGAGGTGGCGGTACAACTTGGAGTGATGATGGGAAGAACGTGGACACGCGATAATGCCGGCGAGCGCCTCTACCTATCCCGTTTCTATCTCGCCCCTACCTGTCCCACCCGTACCTATCCCGTACCTACCCCGTACCTGTCCCACCCGTACCTGTCCCACCCGTACCTGTTCCACCCGTACCTATCCCGTACTTATCCCGTACCTATCCCACCCGTACCTGTTCCACCCGTACCTGTTCCACCCGTACCTATCCCGTACCTATCCCGTACCTATCCCGTACCTGTTCCACCCGTACCTGTTCCACCCGTACCTGTTCCACCCGTACCTGTCCCACCCGTACCTATCCCGTACCTATCCCGTACCTATCCCGTACCTGTTCCACCCGTACCTGTTCCACCCGTACCTGTTCCACCCGTACCTGTCCCACCCGTACCTATGCGGGGCGCATGTCCCGTGCGATGCCCGGCTCTGTCTCTGCACTCCGCGTCCCTGCTGCCACTGTTTGTTTACGCCGTTGTCACGGCAACCCCCTCCTCCCCCACCCACCCACACCAGGGACCAGCCCCCCCCACCAACCCCCACCCCACCACCACCGTTCCAGCAAACCAGGGCTGAACCATTTGGGGAAAATAAAAAATAGCGATTTTTTTTCTGACATTGCGATTACGATTAAAATGTGTTAAGTCAAGCTTCAGTCCAATATCCACTGTGAAATAGATTTTAAACATGTGATGGAGAATTACCACATTATTCCATCAAAATATGAACTGCTCTATGTATTCTAATGCAAGGCTTAAAATATATTAATTGCTTCCAACATGTATTTATGAAAAAAAAATTATGACAATCAAACATAGAACAATTGTTAAGTTAAATAAAGTTATAATAATAAACACAACTATTCCAACAAGAAAGTAATAGGACTTTTCAAATCGCAAAAAAAATCGCAGCCTTTGCGATTTGCTAATCGCATTGTTTCAAATTGCGATTTCGATTTGAAATCGATTAATCGTTGGGCCCTACCGAGCAAACCCCTCTAGAGATGCGCTCTATGCAGAGTGATGTCGAACCCCATCGGAGAGAGAGCGAGAGAGAGAGCTGGGGTGGGTTGCGTGCGCGCAGCCTGGAGACAAAAGCGTTAAGTCATTCACGGCGTGCGTCGCTTCTAGGGGGTCACACACAACGAGGAGCGGCAGTTTGTGACCGATGGGCTCCTCCCGGCAATTGCCTCGCAAGTCACGTGGCAGCACCACGCGACTTGCGTGCACAGTTCAGGTTTCCATCGCTCGAGAGCAGCGTTCTTCACTCATTTTTGATTTGCATCCCACTGGGATATTTGCACAGGGTTGGTGTACGGCAGGGGTCGGCAACCTACGGCTCCGGAGCCGCATGCGGCTCTTTACGGGCTGATTCTTGACGATATGTACAATACTATGGGGACCTCATTTGCCAGTAAAAATATGATAATTGGTTTTTTACCCTTCTATCTGGCAACAAAACTGACACCTTTTTGCAAGGAGTCATGTTTGCATAGACTGCAATACCTGCAGTCATAAATACAAACAAAAGACATAACTCTGATAATGTGCACTGTCCTTGAAGTTGATTGGTCCACACCCGAGACAGCTTTCCTTCGAGCCTAGTCTCATATGGGTTGGACCAGATGACGCCAAAAGGCGCACAACTCAAGGACAATGCACCATCAGAGTATGAGAGCTCGGGGCAAGCATCTACACTATGGGGACCTCATTTGCCAGTAAAAATATGATAATTGGTTCTTTACCCTTCTATCTGGCAACAAAACTGACACCTTTTTGCAAGGAGTCATGTTTGCATAGACTGCAATACCTGCAGTCATAAATACAAACAAAAGACATAACTCTGATAATGTGCACTGTCCTTGAAGTTGATTGGTCCACACCCGAGACAGCTTTCCTTCGAGCCTAGTCTCATATGGGTTGGACCAGATGACGCCAAAAGGCGCACAACTCAAGGACAATGCACCATCAGAGTATGAGAGCTCGGGGCAAGCATCTACACTATGGGGACCTCATTTGCCAGTAAAAATATGATAATTGGTTCTTTACCCTTCTATCTGGCAACAAAACTGACACCTTTTTGCAAGGAGTCATGTTTGCATAGACTGCAATACCTGCAGTCATAAATACAAACAAAAGACATAACTCTGATAATGTGCACTGTCCTTGAAGTTGATTGGTCCACACCCGAGACAGCTTTCCTTCGAGCCTAGTCTCATATGGGTTGGACCAGATGACGCCAAAAGGCGCACAACTCAAGGACAATGCACCATCAGAGTATGAGAGCTCGGGGCAAGCATCTACACTATGGGGACCTCATTTGCCAGTAAAAATATGATAATTGGTTCTTTACCCTTCTATCTGGCAACAAAACTGACACCTTTTTGCAAGGACATGACTCCTTGCAAAAAGGTGTCAGTTTTGTTGCCAGATAGAAGGGTAAAGAACCAATTATCATATTTTTACTGGCAAATGAGGTCCCCATAGTGTAGATGCTTGCCCCGAGCTCTCATACTCTGATGGTGCATTGTCCTTGAGTTGTGCGCCTTTTGGCGT